TCCATCTCCAGGGTTCAAGAGATTTTCCTGCCTCAGCCTCCTAAGTAGCTGGGATTACAGGCGCCCACCACCACGCCCAGCTAATTTTTGTATTTCTAGTAGAGACGGGGTTTCACCATGTTGGCCAGGCTGGTCTCGAACTCCTGACCTCAGGTGATCCACCTGCCTTGGCCTCCCAAAGTGCTGGGATTACAGGTATGAGCCACTGCACCCAGCCAATTTCTAAGGGTTTTGACTCCAGTCCCTGGCTCACTGACTGCATCCCTGGAACCACCTGGGACCTGGGGTAACTCGACGCCCTGAAGGGAAGGATGTAAGCGTAGCTGCCTTTGGAACCTGCTAGTTTTAGAGCCCAAGGGCCTTGAGCAAACATAAGCAGTAGCCAGGTTGGTCGTGGTTACAGGAGGCCATGGGCAGGACGCAGCGCAATCCCAGTGACAGTAGGCATAGGGGTGTTTGTGTGACTCTACTCCCGGCTCCAGGTAGCTCAGCACAGAGAGAGAGAGAGAGAGAGAGAGAACCGAGACAAGAGAGAGAGAGAGAAGAGAGAGAAGAGAAGAGAAGAGAGAACGAGAGAGAGAGAAGAGAGAACAGAGAGAGAGAGAGAGAGACAGAGAGAGATCTGAAGATAGCAGGGAACGAGAACAAGAAGTCTCTGGTGGTTAACCGATAATCTTCTGGAGCTTATCCCGACCACTAAGGAGTACCTCCATGGTTTGCAAAGAAACACAGCATATGGGGCTTGGGAGCCCCTAATCGGACGGCTTAGATCCAACACCAAGTACTTCCTGAATACTGGAAGCCTCCAAAAGGGAAGTACAAACACCTTGTCTGCCAAGAATACAATAAATACTTAACATGGCCAGGCACGGTGGCTCATGTGTAATCCCAGAACTTTGGGGAGGCGTGAGCGGGGGATCACCCGAAGGTCAGGAGTTTGAAACCAGCCTGACAATATGATGAACCCCCATCTCGACGAAATACAAAATTGGGTATGTGGCTGCACCCTATAATCCCAGGTACTGGGAGGCTGAGACAGGAGAATGGCTGGAACCAGTGGTGGAGGTTGCAATGGCCAGATGGCGGCATTACACTCCAGCCTGGGCAAATAACAGTGAACTCATCTCAAAAAATTAGCCCAGGGTGGGTGTCATCGCCTGTAGTCCCAAGGTACTCGGGAAAGGTTGAGGTAGGAGAATTACTTGCACCTGGGAGCAGAGGTTGCAGTGGAGCTGAGATCCAGCTATCATACTCCAGCTTGGGCAACAAGAGCAAAACTCTCTAAATAAATAAATACCTGACTGTCAATGCCAGCCACCAATTGAACATCTATAAGCATTAGACCATCCAGAATAAATGACTTACAACAAACAAATAAGCCACCGGACCAATCCTCCGAGAAACAGAGATATGGACACCTTTCAGAGATGAATTGACGATCGCAGTTTTGAGGAACTCAAAGAATTCAAGATAACACATAGAAAGAATTCAGGCATTCTGGCGGAGCGCGGTTGGCTCAACCTGTAACACAGCACTTGTGGAGGCGAGACGGGGCGGATCACGAAGTCAGGAGTCGAGACAATTCCTTGGGCTTAACACGGTGGAAACCCGTCTCTACTAAAATACAAAAAAAATACTAGCCGACGAGGTGGCGGCGAGCCTGTAGTCCAGCTATCCGGGGAGCGACGGCATAGGAGAATGAGCGCAACGGGAGGTGGAGCTTGCAGTGAGCTGAAGATCC